CATGGAAACTGATCATCACACACTGTAGTTGTGCAAATGTGTACGGCAGATTTGTTATGACTAAACACTTTTCTGTATACATGTATGTCAACTGACCGATCACGATCAACTAATTGCAGAACGCAACCCATACTTGGTGAGTGCTTCAATTTTCCCTCAAATTGTTTCTGGTTGCTACGAAAATAGAATAGTGAGAACTACACAAAATTGTACAGTAGTGGAAGAAGTAAAGAACACGACGCTGGTATAAGATTTGAACTACCTCGTTTAGTTGCAACAGAAGCTTAATGGAGAACTTAGTATTGAATCACTCATCATATGTTATCTTTGTCAGTTATCCTAAGAGGGTATATGGCACACTTTTACAAGATGATTCTGTACAACGAATGTTAACGTCCCAAAGTCCAAAAATTGCATTTTTGTAATTGAGTTGATATTTCAAAAGCTTATTCAAAATATCTGTATAGAATGAGCTACTGTCAAACCCCAAATTGTACGTAATACATAATGAAATGTGTATCATAAACCTCATCTTCCTGGCCTCAACTTAGATAAATGTGTGGCGGGCCTTAACCAAAGATAGGGTAGAGATCAACGTATAAGAGGATACTAGATGTAGGACCACTCATCCTATTGACATCAAAACACTTCATCTGATAAATGCTCACTTTATCTAGAACTAACATCTAATTAGGATTTAAGTTGAGATACAAGTTAAAAGAGTTTAGTCAAAATATGAAAGCAAAATTTAGAAAAGTAGCACTATTAAGGCTACTAATATTATATGTACTGTATTTGTTTGAAAACTATGGTAGGCCTACACTTTGTGAAGAACACAATTTTTATTCTATTTTTACTGGTTTAAAAGATCTGTTAAACTCGTAATAAATACTCATCAGTCTGGAAAGCATTAAATCATGTGACACCATTTCACCTTCAATTTGTTTAGGAAAATATATTTTTGTAACCAAGTTATAATTTGTTTGCCCATTTAATAAACTGTTTGCATAGCGAATTGCAAAAGCATACATATTATTGATTATGTTTAAATCAGATAAAATAAAAAGTCTTCATTTTATGAGTGTACATTTGGTACAAGAAATTGTGCCAACACACAATAGTGATAGAGTAGTTATCACACATAAAAAATATTCTTTTTGTAATTTGCTAAATTCCAAAAAAAAGATATTTGAACTTTAAGTGTACAGTTGACTATGTCCTTTTTGAAAAATAAAATATTCTTTACTAGAAAATCCACATTTTAGACTATTATATTATTATTGGTTATCATAAGTGTACAGGGTGTCTCACACTGTGAAAGCAGCAGAGGTTGTTACTTTTATTAATATTCCAGACATATTGACCATGTAACAAACTTGAAAATACACAGTTATAAATGAGTATGTAAAATATACCCCCAAGTTTAATTTGATATTTGTTTTAAGAAAATCAAAGAGTAACAAAATAATTACAAAATTAGGAAAAACAATATGCTAGCGTGATAAAAAAAAATGCACAGGGATTTATATACATTTATTTACAGGAGGTTATGAATTAAATTAATATCATTTATGAATACCACTGTCCCATCTCTTTGTTTACTTCAATCTTACTCACTAAATTAAGACTGTACAAATCGTGATTAAATTTGAAATGGTTTTGCAAATAAAATTACTTGTATGTTGGGGTGGTCCGTAAAAATGCAGTTTGTATCAAACATGCAACATGTAAACATCAAACATGTTCTTATTGATTGGATGGATGGGAAGGGTGTCAGTGTGAGTGGGTGGAACTCACAAGTGCAGCCACCTTTACGTGGTGAGTTCTGGGTGGTTTTGATATTAATATCTAATCAGTCGAGGAGCTGCACAATTGGCTTGCAACTCAAAATAAACAAATGTTACGAATCACATGATTTTACCAAACAAAGTAAATGTGTCCAAAAATCAAGATATTTGCTTAACACGTTCGCGGCGGCATGGGAGCGATCGCTCCCATACGGAACCCTAATGCCATCCTGGTGGGTGCGTTCGCTCCCAAGTTGCAATGCAGTACGAAATGATTTATTTTTAAGCCAGGATTAGAGCTAGAAACTTGAAACCTCGCACAGCACTGCTCAATAGTATACTGTACTTTGTTGTGGTGTAGGTTGGTAGTAAATTTCCCCGAAAATCCCCCTCTGGCAATCTCAAAAATCTACTTTTTGTCCCGCTTTTTTCCCTCCATTTGGCAATACAATTCCAATGGGACCGACTATGTTCCAAGCAGTGCTGCTATCTGTGAGTGTTTAGCGAACTACGTCGACTCTCGTCTTAAAGCAGGACATCCTCGCACGTTATTTGCTATTCGTCAGACCGAAATTGGAAAGCCAGTCACACGCGGCAATCGGGTTTGTTTGACGCTGCGGGCTGTGCCGCACTGGGGATACGCCCGCCATTTGACGTTCCGCCGCAAACGTGTTAATTTTAAAGGAATTGCGCGATCGAAAAAAATACTCCAATAAGATAAATAGTTTATTTTACAGTTTTCAATAGCTTAAAATAACATCAAATAGCTTTAGGAATTTAAAAAGTAAAAAAAATCATTCTTTTTGAATTTTTGAAAATTTTTGGCTTATAGAGCAATTGAAAGATGAACTTGGATTTCAACAATTTTTGTTTGTTGTTCTTCTATGTACCAATTGCGACTTTTCCTTTCTAAAGCAACTTTAATTTCATTTTTACGCTCCACCCTATTGTACTTATACACAGCATTATTTTGATTTTGAGCCATTTTGTTTTCATGGTCGGAATCAAGTGGTAACTTAAGGGTGTTTTATTCCGATTTGTGTTTGTTGCAATTGTGGAGTTTCAAGTTTGTACCGTGTGTCTGGTATATAAAATAAAAATATTGTAGCAACCTCTGCATGGGACATCATAAAAATATGCACAGATTATATAATATTTCTTCTGTGATATGTTTGATCTCAAATTGACTAATTTATTATATTTTAGGTTTAGATTTTCATAGAAATTTCAAAAAATATTCCATTATTATTATCAGAGTATATTACTACAGTTTTATAAATAAACCCCCAAAAGTGTGAAGGTAAAGTCTGAAAATTTGGATAATTACAGACTCACTCCAAATGTGATTTTATCTTTCATGTATCCTAAACTGTATTATTTAATATGAAAAGGTTTTTGAGTAGTCTATTGTGATGAAAATGTAAAAAATGTTTGTAATTATCTGTAAGGTATCGCATGTCTGTGACATTCAATAAACAAGTAACAAAATCCATTTATAATAAATGTATACCACTAAAGTTGAATTATTTACAAAACAGGACTGGAGGTAGTTTTGTCTGGTGGAGAGAGCAAGGTCATTAAGGTTAGTAAACAGGACAACGTTTTTGTCATTCCAAAAAAAATCTGGTTGCTTTTAACTTACACCTTTCCTTGGAATGTGTTCCGGACACATCACAACACTTGTATATTTGTGACATTCTGAGATTCATGTCTACTTGGGAACTGAGGATTTGATTTTATACTAACCTTGTTCAAAAGAATGATCTTACACAAAAGGGTACCTTTATGAATCAAAGTCAAAAGTATTTATTGCACTGGTATGGTATATTTTTAATAAACAATGGACCTTAATTTAATCAACAGGTTGCCTGTCCCTAAATGAGCAAATGCAGCCATAAAAGAGTCTTTTGCTTTTCCTATAAGAAAAATGGATAATGTCAAACAGTCTCTTAAAAAATCCTGCAGAACGAATCTACACGATTCTTTGAACCAATGAATAGACAACCAGGGGATATTGATATTCAGATTATTATTAGAGATGCCCCTTCGCAGTTCTAAATCTTTCAAACTCAAACACATGTCAATCTGCAAGAAAAGTTTCTCAGCTTTGGTCACTGTTCCATCAGAGACTGATAGCTGATAGTGGCTGGTCAGTGGTCTCGTCATTCACATTTGTGCAAATTTATGAAAACTCTCTGTAACACTTATACACCATTTTATGTCAATAAATCAACAACTGTCGAAGGATTTCAAAACGGGTTGAACGTTTTTTTACTAATTCAAACTCGTTTACACCATCACTACAGGAGCTCGCTGGGGACCCTAGTTTACAGACAAACCTAGTCCATGATGAAGTGAAGGAAAGCATTTAAACTTCCTGATACAACATCATTTCTAGAAAAGCTATTTATGTTTTCCAGAAAATCTTATTTTAAAAATCTGCACCAAATTATGCACCTTTACTCAAACGCCAAGTGATGTAAATATAACATTTCATTATGAAAGGAGTACTAGGTAGCCTATGTTCTATGGAGATAGGGATGATACTCAAGTGAAGTGAACAGGTTTATTTTACAAACTACACTGCATGACAAAGCAATCGTACCTCTCCCAAGAGAAAATTCCAGTCCTTTTTTGTAATAAATTCTACTATAGTTGTCAGTGTATCAATTTAAATTGGCTAACTTAAAATGTCTTTATTATTAGGAGTGATATCATTTTTGACCTATTTCAATTACATTTTTTTAGTATGTGTTATGTTGTTATGTTTGTAACAAAAATAAATGGCCAAACCACCATCAATGGGAAATAATTAAATTAAAATAATAAAGGTAACTGAAACAAAAACTTCTGTTGACTTTTATGTCATTGGTTAAGGTAAAAAGAATTTAATAGAAAAATTTAATTTGTAGATAAAGTAAATTAAGGCATAATATTCCATATTTATATTCTTTACGGAAAGGAAATAAAATATATTCTTTGTAGTGGTAAAAAATAATGATATCAAAACAGTTTTTCTCTTAAGAATTAAAGCTAATTTAACAACACTACCTACTTTAATAAAACGTGTATTTCTTTAACCTAGTAAAATCAAATGCACTGATTTCGAATTCCTTGTGATGTTAAAACATGCTCATAGCTTTATGCATATATGACAATGCTCTAAGCTACTTATGCTTCATAAATTTGGCTAGTAATATGTAAAAGGCTCACTCAGAATCCATATCTCGTGTAGAACTCTCTGTCAAAGCACAGGTAGCCTCCTCAGTCTGCATTCTCTGGGAAACTGTTTGGTAGGTTTTAGACAAAAGCTTATCTTCTGTCACACCGTGGAGTTCAAAGTCTGAATACAGTTTCTGGAAAAAAAAAATAAAATCTCATCACTATACAAATTGCATTGTGTTTCTATTGGTGGCGAATACAATAAAGAGATTAAATTTACGTTGGAAAAGTTTAACTACAGTAGTAGTTCATTCTCATTACCAAGGAAGTATGTGGAGATATGAAGATGACACAAGAATGAGACCAAGGCCGCAGGTAAACATTTTTCAAAGGGAGTTGGTCCTAAATTTCCAACCCTTTCACCATGCAACTGTTGCTTTTTGTAAGAGCCAATGACATTTGGACTGTCGGTCTTAACACGAGGCACGCAGACTTTTTTTAAGAAAATGGCCCAAAGGTTTAATGATACTTTCATATTATGTTATTAAAAATGTAATAGTATTTTAAATTGGTATATTTTAATGTAATTCTTGAACCTGTAAGTACAATTTATATAAGAACAAATTAAACAAATTTTTTAATATTTTGTTGTTAAATTACCGTGAACATAAGGCTCTCGATAAGTTTGGAAAATTCATTAAATTTGATTTTTTCTTGATTTTTAGCAGCAAACGACTTGATTATGCCAGAAAATGAAATTTTTGTCGTTATTACATGTTTAATTGAGAATATCTTGCTGATAATTACTTAGTTTTTGATTGTCTTGTCTAATAATCAGTGACGGATCCAGCCAGGAGTAGCAGGGTGAAAAGAAACGCAAAAGAATTGCCTGCGATCGTTGCAAAATTGTGAACACCTCCCACTATTACGGGGACATCGTTATTGCCACTCGCGGTTGCGGCTAAATTGTGATTTGTGAACATCTCCGCTATCACGGGGACATTATTTACGTCACCCGCATTGCGGAAAAATCGTCAACGCCTTTCGCTATCACAGGGACATCGTTATCATCACCCGGAATCGCGGAAAAATCGTGAACATCTCCTGCTATCACAGGGACATGATTATCGTCAGCCCCAATCGCGGAAAAATCGTCAAAGACTTTCGCCATCACAGGGATATTGTTAACTTCTCCCAGTATCACGGCGACATCGTTATCATTCATTTATAAAACAATTTGTTGTTTAAAAAATGCATTTTTATACAAGACTCTACAGCCCCAGATCATGGCCTAGTGGTATGTCCGCTGATATCGCCGGGAACACCAAAACCCGTTGTCGTCATCCGTGACGATGGCAAAATTATTGTATGTTAACCAATAGACAAAAACCGACATTTTTTTCCAATCCTTAATCTTGGGTTGGAAAAAAACAGTAAACCGACACCCAACCTAAAAAATAGGGCTAATTCCGGAACCCTTATAATGTTCATTATTACAGTATTTTGTTAATAAATGGAATCAAGAAAAATGTAAGAGCGACGGACGCGCCCCTTCCTCAACAAATTCTTGGATCTACCTCTGCTAATGATCGTTAAGAAACCACAACAATTTCAGATAGAAATAAAAGCAATTTAAGAAAAATATATGTTATAGAAAAATATAGGTGTCAACGAGGAGCGGAGAGGGGATCAGGGGTAGAATGGCGCGGGCGGCTGCACTCCAATCTACACTTGTCCATTAAGTCTAGGAACGACAATAACCTTGAACAGTCATGTCTGCCATGAACCTCACCACCGTGTTCATCTATTTATTTTTATATATAATACGCTAAGCTGATTTTTGTAAACAGAACTCCTCCCTCATTTTAGACTGATTTTGATCGATGATTAAAGTGTAAAAAAATGGCCCTGATCTGTAGTTTTGGAGAGGGGTTTTCATCTTTTTAAATCTTTATTAGTTTGGACAGGATATAGCATCAAAGTTGGGTTTCCTCCCATAAGGTTAACATGGGGGAATCTATATATTTAATTGGAAACCTTTTCTCCACTAATGTGAGAGAACGGATGGGCGTAGAAGCTTGGTAGAGGTGTCTAAAGAAAGGTCTTGGTCTTTAGATGAGCCATCATAAGTAAAACAAAGTAAATTCCCTCGGGGCTCTGTCCCAGTGACCTTTAAAGTTCCCTCCCCAGATTTGTTTACATTATGGCCATATGGATAATTTTTCACTATTTTTTTATAAACCAGCTGATAATATTTAAATTGTATTTTTAACAACACACATTTAGTTATGGCAACGAAGACAGAAAATACCAAATAAAGGAAAAAATTCTTGTATAAGCCAAATTTGGTACAGTTGTAGGGGAAGTGTCCCTACAAACAACATACTAAAAGTACCGACCAGTGGGAGTGGAGCTAAGGGGGCTCTAAAGGTCCCTTTTTTAGGTTTTTCGTAAATAACTTGAAAACTATCAACATTTGTATACAATACTAAATTTCCTGCAAGAAAAGTATATGATTTAACTATTTCAGTTCAACCATCTACAAGATATAATAAATATCTTATTCAAATACTTCTTCCATAAGAATAAATGTAAATTTGTGTGAAAAATAACAACCAGCAGGTATATAAACCTGCTGCTGCACTGTTGGTAAATAATAACCAACAGACAAAACCAAGTTTGTTCAACTTCCTTCATTATGAAGTTTGTCATTTAACAGTACAAGTTTTATGATTTTTTTTAGTTTCATAAATTGGAATTAGTATTTTGTTATGTTGAGATCTCTGTAAAACTCTACCTATCCATTTAGACTGAATACCGTAGAACCCCTCCATATCAGGCACCAGACCAGACAGTTCAGGTAGTTGGAAATGATCGTAACATCAAATAAGTATAATACCCCTGCCGCAGCAAACCTGCAGACTAAGCGAATTTTCATTTGCCTGATTTGATTTTCAATTAAATCTATTTAAATAACATTAGATTTAACAAGTGCCTCGGTTTGCTGCTTCAGGGAGGGTAATAAAGTGTGTTTTTATTAAAATATTAATAGCTTAGTGTAAAATAAATCAATTTGTCAAGTTTGGTCAAAATATATCCATAAACAAGCAAACTATAACAGTTTACATATTCTCCATAAGAATAACATAAAATAAGAAAAACCAATTCTTACCCCATAAAACCCCCATAGTCCGATCATACTGGTTTGCGAACTCATTCAAGTTTATCTCACCCTACACCTTTAGGCCAAATTTCATCATAATCGGAAAAAAATTACTCAAGTTCATGGACGTATATATATATACACATTTATACAAATTTGAAAGAATAGTGTTTTTGGCCTCTAGGGACATCAAAATGAAAACGTATATCGGTCCCGGGTCTAGGTTTTACCGTGCCACCTACGTATAGCTACCCTATAGGGGAATTCGCTAAAACAAATATTAAATGAGCTAATAATGTTGTTTATTAAGGCCTAGACGCCTATCAATTATTCAGTATAATTTACCTTTTACAGTAGCCTAAGGTGTCAACAGTTGAATTCTGTAGCAGTACGCATGTGTAGCAATAATTGATACGAAACATGTACTGCTACAGAATTCAACTGTTGACACCTTAGGTAACTGTAAAAGGTAAATTATACTGAATAATAATGTTGGGATCATGTTGTAAGCTAGTCAAAAGATCAATTGAATTAGGAATGGAAGGGATTGTACTTTGAGTTCTGGACACTTTTTCCCCTTGCAATAAAGGGCTTGTTTTGTAAATCTTGTGTGAACATTCTTGCAGATAGCAATAATGACAAACAAAACCAATTTGCAGTCTCTATCTGTGGTACTGTTTATTAAAAGCCAATAATGGTAAAAACTGTTAACTGCAAAAAAAATATTTTTCGAGCAATTTAACTAAGAAACAGCAGTTTAATTATAAAATACAACTAACTAACCACATATCGGTATCCAAACCGACTATCACTGTATTTTTACAAAACTATTAAGAGTATGAAAGCAGTATTAGCCTAAGTAATCATAAATTTTGTGACATGAACAATGCCACCATGATTATGATCTGCGATCATGGCACCATTGCAATCAAGGAGACATCACAATCGTTTCCTGGATTTGTGGAGCCATCCTTAACATCTCTCGTAATTGTGGGGACATAATGTCAGCCGCCATACTGACATAGAAAAATTGCTGACGATTGGTGCAAATCCCGAATCAATAATGTAATCCGATCCTTATCGATAATATACTTTCCCCAAAACTTAAGTTCCTGTCTATGAATATATGAACATATGAACTGAATTTATTTCAATTAAAACAGGAAAATACTCACACAGGAGATTATGTGAAGCAGGACGTCTAACTAGGTAGATATTACTGGGATTTAATAAATCTAAGGCAAGACAAGTGGGAGTTCTACAGTAAAATTAGTAATTTTTAATTTTAGATTAAAAAATAAAAAAATTATTGTACTGACTATGAGGTATGAATGTACCTTAACAATATGAGCGAGGCAAGTGCACTGGTACACATGTAGAGAATGATCTAGTCTCTCAGACAGCCAGTTGCACAGGAGTTGGATTTGTGCAGTATACCATTGCTGTGTAAAAAAAACAGTATTTAATTTTTTCATATATATTTTTATATCTAGCATGACATCTGGTAAACTTTGTTGGCTAATAAGTTTATTCTTTAGTAACAATTATTCATTAAAAGGAATCTGATCAACTGAGCTCCATATATTTGTACATAAAAACAATATTTTTGCAGTGATAAAAATCAGGTGATATGTACAAGAAGTTGCAAACCCCTAAATATTGCTTACGAACCACGAGCCAACCAACCTATAGATCATCAGCCAACCATGCTGATAGATTAGATGAAATAAAGCTAAGTCTGTCATTGAATTGCCAGTTTAATCCCTTCCTTAAGCCAGTTAAGCTATTGGTAGGTAAGATAAACAGTTCTTTTTTTTCACAATTGTCATGAAAAAAATAATCATAAATATTTATTTGGTTTAAAAGTGGTTCTTGATTTTATTTTATTTTTTGCAAAGATAAACAAAATTTAATCGATTGTATTTTATTTTTAGCTACTGAACAATTACCTCAAAAAAGTTAAGAATCCAAAGATCATCGTTGACTTTGCTTCTGATTTGCTCCAAACAGTTACGAGTAAAGTTGACATATGCATGGCCCATGTCTTTTCCTGATCCTGATACATTCTGAAATTCAAAAATATTGATTAATTTTCCACATTAAATCCAATTTTAACTTAACTGAAAACAAATATTTTAAAGCTGTTTTGTTTATGTATAAAACGAGTTGGTAATGGGATATCTATAAATGACATGATCAAGATTTGGCCATTTCTGAACCTTAAACTGTACAGTGAAAAAGGAACTTGTTTTTCTCACAACCTGAAAGCACAAAACCCTAATAATGCAAAGCCAATCTTCCTCCCTATGAAGCATTAATTCCCTATAAAATTTTATCAAAACTTATTCTTTTACTGTACGGTACTCTAACACGGCAAAATATTTATAGAAGCTTTAACGTACAGAAAGATAATGATATTTTATTCAAAAATTTTCAATTATTTTATTTATTAACATTTGATTATGCTTTATTGCCAGTTAAAATTCATAATTCGGAATTTTTTCCTTTTCATATTAACGGAATGGCGAGATTTTCCATATCTGAACACCAAACCAGACTCGTGTTTTGAATACTACACGACCAGTCGACCAACGGTGACGGACGGTTTTGAATACTGGTGTTTGGACGTATGGTGACCTACCTGGTAGTAACCAGCTCAATGAATGAGTCACCCCTGTATACAATATCTATTTGTACATCTTTGTACAAGCCATGTTAAATATTAGCAAAATCCATTTCCTGCTCCATAGCAAATTTTGCAAAGAATATTTACTGTTTCGAATCCAAGCAAACTTTTTCTGACCAAGTTGGATGGTCTAAGACTCTTGGTTTTCTTTTATTCTCTTCATGTTTTTTCCAGATATTAACTTCCAATCATTGTTTACTTATCTAGTGATAAAATCTTTTTAATCGGTTTTGATAATGTTGAGAGAAAGTCAATAGACAAGCATTATAGAAAAGTGAACAAAATCAAAGTCATCTGTGGCAAAAAAGTGCAAAACACTGAAAAATGAATAGTAAAGAAAATGAGTAAGAATAAAACAGTTGATATTTAAAGTAGTTAAATTAGAATGACAAGGAAATCAGTAAGTAGAGAGTATGATGACTGAAAAAAAGAGACAAACATTAAATGGAAACAAATTACATTGCTTAATTATAAATCTATTATTCTTTTTAATTTGTAAATATCTTGTATCAAAAGGAATAGAGTAAAAGAGTAAGAAGATAAAAATGTATGGTCGAAAATGTATACAGTTTTAAGTTGTCTTTGCCTTCTTTTTATTTTTTTAGGACATGTATTTTTTACTAAGACAGATTACTTATAGCCTTACCGTATTGCTATTAGTGAAGAACAAATAAGACCCAAAAAGACAAAACCAACATAACATTTTTAAAATATGCAAGATTGTGATATTTAGTTTTTGAAAAGTGCTGACACAGAAAAGTTGTTTCAAGTTAATTAAATAAATTACTCACTCTCGTTAGGTCAACCTGAAACATCAGAGAATATGTTACATGCTAAGCACTACCGAATTCCTAACAACCCCAGTGTCAACATATTTGTAGCTGTTGCTGCTCTGCTAAAATCATCTTGGTCCCACATTTACTGACGGCGCTCAGTGCTCACAGTAGGCAAGGAGCCATAAAACATTTTACTGTGTACATTTTAAAGATTCATCATGTTCTAAAACTCCTCGGGATCAATAGTCATTTTTGAAAACATAATTCATTAATTCAACCTTATCAGTTGAATAAGAGGAAATTTGATTAAATCAATACCAATAACTCAAATATTATGATGTGTGTTGTTCAGGATTCAGTACGGAGGCATTTTCTTAAACAATGGTTGGTTGTAAATCATTTTACTTTAGTTGCAATCACAAACTATTATTTTACTATTGCTATGACACAACTTAAAACCCCATAAAGATTGACTGGTTGTGTTTAGGATCTCCGTACTTCTCTTGACCAAGTTCTTCAGCCAATAAACTTTAATATATACAGAATAACACCCAGCAAAAACTAAAATAAAGTAGCTTAGTAAAAATGTTGATGATGAACAGTGATTCAAAATTTAACTAACCTATACGGATCACTCCAGTGGACTTACAGTGAAACTGAGGATGGATCCAATGAGACTGCCTTCATCGTAACGGCTCAGCTTAGAGAGAGTAGTCTCGAGAACTGCGACTAGTTTGCTGATCATCCCTTGACTCATACTTGCTGAGGTTTTCTCAATCAAGTCATCAATCTTTGTGTGATATTGGTGCTGTAATTTAAATAATTAACTGTCTTTGACACACTTTATAGAAATTATAAAAAAAGTTTGGTATGGTTGTAAGTCAAACTTGAATCTCTTTTTTTTGTTTATGTGTAGGACAAGTATAAGAGTAGTCACAAGAACAAGAAAATTATGTACATGGAGCTTATGACATACGATTACAATATATATCCATGGTATTTATGAGAATAGGAATAGAAAAAAGTTGACGTTAATTTATAAATACCTACAGTTTATTGTAGATCACAAATTTCTGACACAATGTGCTTTTCCAGGAATACTAAATTAATGACAACTTTGTGTCAATATGCAAGGAAAATGACATATTGTTAGAAATTAAGTTAATAATTTTTAAATTATGAGTAAATTAAGTTTTTCCTATTAGTTATGATGATGTGTTATTATTATAACTGGATGAATTAGGGTATACAGTATTCAATGACTGTTTACATTCATAACATATTACAAAGCTTTCAGGGTCAAAACTATTAGTCATGTTTTTAGCTAATACATGGGCACATGGCAAATTTGTTTACAACTTTACTTTAAAGTTTCAAAATACGAGGGCTATCCAGAAAGTAGATTACGTTGTTGTCTGTATCTGCTAGGGGTGGGGCTAGCGCGACCATCTTGGTGTTAGTTCGTTATGTAGCTCAGTCGGCATCTAGCCGTGCTAGTAAGAGGTTTCTGCTGTACTCCGTTGAGTTACTGTGACAGTTTAAAATGGCTGTGTGAATTGAAAGTGCCGCAAACTGTGAAGTGCGTGCAGTTATAAGGTTTTTACTGCAAAAACTGTAAACCGATAGAAATCTATCAGCAACTATGTGAAGTTTATGGGGAAAACATTGTTACTGAAGGTGGAGTTCGTCAGTGGGTCATCAAATTTAAAAATTGCCGAACTAACGTTTACGACGAAGAGCGAAGTGGAAGGCCCAGCATTTAGACTGCCAAACTTGTTGAAAAAGTCGATGCCGATGTCAGTTAAAACTCGAATGTTCACAATAACAAAATTCTCTATGGGTTTTCCACAAATTTCACGAAGTTTGTTGCACGAGATCATAACCGAAAAGCTTGGTTACCAGACTGTAACCGTAGAGGCCATTCATTATTTTTTTTGCACACACTTCACAGTTCGCGGCATTTTTAATTAACACAAGACATTTTAAACTGTCACAGTAACTCAACATAGTACAGCAGAAACCTCTTACTAGCACGGCTAGATGCCGACTGAGCTGCATAACGAACTAACACCAAGATTGTCGCGCTAGCCCTGCCCCTAGCGGATACAGACAAAAACGTAATCTACTTTCTGGATAGCACTCGTACATTAAAGACTTACCACATCAACCCCATCCACAGCACACAACTTGAATGATTGGTTCTTGGCATCCAAGATCACATTCACCATCGCACACATCTCTGAGGGAATTATGTAGTCAGTTGATATGAAAGTTCCCTTCTTCAACCATTGTTGAAAGGCATTTTCGGTCCTGAGAAAAAATTTAAAAGTTTTTAGGAAATGTAAAAGAAAATTTGAACCCATGGTGGAAGGAAAAAACATAGGTGTGCTATTCCCACATATTCTGACGTCACTCGGATTGCAAACAAAAGATTACCTGATTGTAACTGTCAAATTAGTAAGTATTTGTTTTAATTTGATTGTTATTGTTTTTATAATAATAAAAACAATTAGTACAACAATTAGTATGTATTTGTTTTAATTTGATTGTTATTGTTTTTATAATAATAAAAAAAATAACAACCAAATCAAAAGAAATACATATACTAATTTGACAGTTACAATCAGGTGATCTTTTGTTTGCAATCCGAGTGACATCAGAATATATGGGAATAGCACATCTATGTTTTTTCCTTCCACCATGATTTGAACCAGTATAAAATAGAAGTTGTTATACTGTATCAGGTTGAAAAAAGAAAAGAAATGCAGGGTGGAAAAAATTATTTTTTTAAACATTTGTAGCACAACAAAAGTATTTAAAAATATATAGGGTCAGTATAATTTTAAATTTTCAAATTAAAGGTAGGTAGTGAACCAGTAATATTACCTCTGGAAACATGACCAAATCATATCAAAATCCAACGAAGAAATAATTATTATTTTTACGTAATACAAGTCAAATAAAAAGTTTCTAAGTAACCTTATAGAGGGAATCGGTAGCAGAAAAATATTTCAGTTACGGCGGGGAACATGCAGCTTGAGGTTGTTATAGTATACAAGTCTTTGAACGTAAAACCGCCCAGACCCCAATTTTTAAGGACCTCGGTCGTCCGTAATGACGTCATCAAAATGGCGGCTGTACAAGGATGCTGGGTCACCATGAAATGGTTATAACACCCAAATCCGTGAACTGATTTTAATGAAATTTGGCATACAAGTACTTGAATACATTATCTCAGCCCAGGTTGTCAATGGTCGAGTTTGATGAAGTTGTTTCAAAATGGCGGCCGTTAATAACTAAAATAATAACAATGTCAGTGTTTTGTGTTCTCAACTCCCTCCAGAGATCTGCAGCAACCTATTCATTTTCCTTGCAACCACAGGTTGTGATGCTATCTCTGCATTTCATGGAAAATACCCACACCACAGCAAACCTGCAGACTAAGAGAGTTTTCATTTGCCTGATTTGATTTTCAATTAAATCTATTTCAATAATATTAAGCTTCATGAGTACCTAGGTTTTCTGCTACAGGGAGAGTAATAAAGGGAGTTTTAATTAACATACCAATAGCTTAGTTTAAAATAAATAAATTTTCCAAGTTTCATTAAAATATATCCATAAACAAGCAAACTACAACTAGTTAATCAAATCAAATCATTTATTGTAGTCAGACAAATATACATTGTATTACAAACGTCAACTTAAATTACTTCTAAATATAAACAATAATATAATGCAAATAATAAAATAACAAAACTGGTAGCCTACTATAACACTGATAACACATATGAAAGTAATAATTACAGAGCAGGTGGACTTAGCTTCAGACTTTTTTTTTTTTTTTTTTTTATAAATTGGACTGTTCAAAAAATTCAGCAACAGAGTAACATGCACGTTCTAAAAGGTATTCTTTTTATTTAATTTTGAATTTTGCTTCTGACGTTAAGGATTGTAGATTGGCTGGAAGTTTGTTAAGCAGTTTTGGCCCGAGATTTTGAGGTAATGATGCAGCTAATTCCAATCTATGAGAGGTTTGTCTATGATGGTGTCTTTGCCTGGTATTATAATTATGAATATCTGCACCGGTTACTTTTGTTGTTGATTTAAACCTATAATATAATAGAATTTCAATAATATATATCGAAGGTAACGTTAGAATTTCAAGGGATTTAAAACAATTTCGGCAAGGTGTTCTTCTGTACACACCTGCCATAATACGAATGGCTCTTTTTTGCAACCTAAAAACGCGTAAAAAATTTGATTGTATCGCAGACCCCCAGAGAATAATTCCATACCTTAATCTTGACTCTATGAGTGAAAAATAAACTAATCGCATAAGTAATAAATTTTGATATTTTGCAAATCTATTCATTAAAAATAATTGAGACGAGAGCTTGGAACACAGTGCATCAATGTGAGGTGTCCAAGAAAAAGTGTTATCAAAAATCAATCCTAGATATTTAACTTCTGTTTCTAAGGGTAACTCAAATTCGTTCATAAATATTACTGGGCTGGCCTCAGAATGGTTGGCTTTTGAAAAATGTATACAGCTTGATTTGCTTGGATTAACGTGTAAATTATTGCTATTAAAGTATTGATAAAGGTTTGATAGTTTTACAAAGCTATCAATTTCTAGGTTATCTAATGATTTATTTTCAAACAAGAGGGCTACATCGTCAGCGTACATAGTTATGTTTAAGTTAGGGAAGGTCTTAGTTATACTATTTGTATATAAAATGTACAAAATAGGCCCCAAAACTGAGCCCTGGGGAATTCCGAAATTCACTTGTAGCTTATTTGAATGTACACAATCGTTAACCTTTACACTTTGAGTTCTCTGTAGAAGATACGACTTAATCCAGTCAAGGGGCAGGCCACGGATTCCCAGATTATAAAGCCTCTCAAAAATTACACCGTGGTCCAAGCAATCGAATGCCTTCTGAAAATCCAGAAATACCCCGATAGCTTTGTTTTTATTATTTACAGCACTGATTATTTTGGTAATTAAGTCAACGGTAGCATCAATCGTACCTTTCCCCTTTACAAATCCAAATTGTTCTTTACATACAAGGTTGTTTTTGAATAAAAAATCAAGAAGCCTTTGCGCAAAAACATGCTCGTATATTTTTGAAAATGTAGATATGTTCGCGATTGGACGCCAATTTTCAGGAAGGTCAGATTTACCGGTTTTAAAAACTGGACGAATTATTGTTTGCTTTAGAACACTGGGAAATATGCCCTGCAGTAAAGAGGCATTTATTATATCAGCAAGAGGTTGACATATGTAATTTGCACAGTGACGTACAATTTTGTGACTAACCCCGTCATATCCACAAGAATTTGAGTTTTTCAAATTCATTATAATTTTATAAACTTCTCGTGCATCTGTTGGGTATAGGGCAAGAGAATTGGGGCAGGTGGTATCGATTTGATATTTTAAGGTGGGTTCAGATATTAATTGATGTTTCCTTTTGCCAATATTGGTGAAATACTGGTTGAGTGATTCAGGACTTGGCATATCAGCAGGTAAAGGTGGCTGTTTACTTTTTTTTTCAGAGTTTATTATATTCCAGGCCTCTTTTGATACTTTATTGGTTCTAGCTAGTTGTCTAGTTATGTGGGCTGATTTCGAAGCTTTTATAACTCTTCTATAAATAGTTTTGTATTTAATGTAATAGTTTTTAAATTCAGCAGATCTGTTAATTTTTCTTTTGAAATCTAATTCTTTAAGCTTTTGTGATGATATTATTATGCCTTTTGTTAACCATGGTTTTGTAATTTTTTTATAAATAATGTATTCTCCGTGAAAATTACATGGATATTTTTTATTTAATTTTTTTTTTATTGTCTCCGTAACCAATAACCGTACAAAAACACATCAATACACTAAATTATTTATTTGTTTAAGCTCTTCAAATTGTTTAGAGATAAATAGGGGAATTATATGTTCTAATGGTCAAACATGAGAAAAACCAATTTTTATCCCATAAATCCCCCAAACACCCCGTTCCCATGGTCCGATCACGGTGGTTCGAGAACTTGTCCGCAGAAACATAGATTTACACGTTCGTACGAAATTTAATCAAAATCAGATCATTTTTGCTTGATTTATTGTCCTAACGGACGAACACACTATGCAGGGTGTTCAAAAGCACCTACAGACCAATTTTAGGGGGAATAATTACCTTAGTGCAAACCAAAATTTCAAAATGGCAGCAATTTTAATGTTAAAAATAAAAATTAGCGAAAAATGGCAGATTTTATAAAAAAGTGTCAAGAACACTTTTATTTAGCATTTAAATTTTCTATCAAACAACTTCCAGTTCAAAAAGATTGAATTAAAAATAACTGAAATATATTGTCTATTCTGACTAATTTTACAACTAAATTGTGAAATTTCAAACATTTATCTTATAATCTTTTCAAGCTTCGTGTAGTTTGATAGGAAAATTTAAATGCTAAATAGAAGTGTTTTTGACACCTTTTCATTAAATTTGCCATTTTCAATACCTTTCATTTTAAAAATTAAAAAGGCCGTCATTTTAAGTGTTCTAATTAGACCAAGGTAATTTTTACCCAAAAAAATTGGTACCTTCTACCTTTACAGTAGAACCTCGGTTAACCAAAATAAAGGGGGGAGAGTAGTTTCGGATAACCAATTTTTCGGTTAACCCGTCATATGCTAAAATAGCCTATTTATTACCAGGGTGTGTAGGAAAAGTGAATTTTTTATGTCTATATAATACAGTGTTTTATTTCAAAATAATCCAAGGATAAAAATATTTATGAAAAGAATACAAAATGTGGATATCTAGTTAACAAAGTGATTTTGTAAAAAAATTTTATTCCTTATTTTCCTCTTATTTTGCCCCAGTGAATCAATTCGTAAATTTTGTCCCAACCCTTTTTGAACACGCTGTATATGTGCGTGTGTCCGTTAGCAAAAATGATCTGATTTTGATGAAATTTGGTACAAACATGTAAACCTACATTTTGTTTTTCAAACAAGTTCGCGAACCAGCGTGATCAGACCCCATGGGTTTTGGGGGAGTTTAAGGGGTAAAAATTGGGTTTTCTCATGGTTGACCCTAAAACATGAAATTCCCCAATTTATCTCTAAACAATTTTGAAGAGCTTAAACCAACAAGTAATTTAGTATATTGAAGTGTTTTGTACGGTTACGGGCTATGGGGAGAAAATGCAAAAAAATTGTAATTTAAAATATCCATGTTATTTTTACGGAGAGCACATAAAATGTTGTAGTATATATTTTTACGAAACTTGGCAAATTTATTGATTCCAAATATATCAATAAAACTCCCTTTACTACTCTCCCTGTAGCAGCAAACCTAGGTACTCATGAAGCTTAATATTATTGAAATAGATTTAATTGAAAATCAAATCAGGCAATTAGAAACTCTCTTAGTCTGCAGGTTTGCTGTGGTGGGGGTATTTTGCCTATTCCATGAAATGCAGAGATACCATCACAACCTGTGGTTGCAAGGAAAATGAATAGGTAGCTGCAGATCTCTGGAGGGAGTTGAGAACACAAAACACTGAAACATTCTTATTATTTTAGTTATTAACGACCACCATTTTGAAACGATCAAACTTGACCATTCATTGACGACTTGGGCCGAGATAATGTATTCAAGTACGTGTATGCAAAATTTCATTAAAATCGGTTCGGGGATTTGGGTGTTATAACCAATTCATGGGGACCCAGCATCCTTGTACAGCCGCCATTTTGATGACGTCATTACGGACGACCGAGGTCCTTAAAATTTGGGGTCTGGGCGGTTTTAAGTTCAAGGACTTGTATACTATAACCATCTCAAGCTGCATGTTCCCCGCCAGACCTGAAATATTCTGTCACTTTATATAACAATACAACCACACTATTAATATTACCTCTGAATACATGACTCAATCATATCACAGGCCATTAGCTTAAGTCTCTGTTCTAAATGTTGACGAAATTCCACATCAGGCCAATGTAAATCCCTGATGAAAGATTGTAAGGCATCTAGTTTCCAAAATAAGTCTTCGGATGTGGCACAACCATTTCTGAAATAAACGGATTAATTCACAATTATTAATATCAATTGATAACATACTCCAGACTGAAACCAATGCTGAATGAATTATTTAAATATATCTATACACAACCAAAATACAACTTACAATAAGTACAGTCATTGCATTTGTCTAAGAACTATTTACTAATCGCTTTCCAGTGTAAGACTGGCATGCAAACAAATCAATCCTCACATCAGCTTTATATTGTATGAGCATGAGAATGAGCCACATGGTAACCCTTAATTTATATATTATAATCTAAATGCTAGTCTTGATCTTACCTAACTACACAATTGTACTACAGATAATATTATTACAAAAATCATACTAAAATGATTTGTACAGTGTAAAGTGAACACATTGTGAGGGGAGAAACCATCTTACTTGCTACCAAAAACTTAGACGAGTCAATTAACATTTTAAAGAATACACTACTAAATCTTCCATTGCTATTCTAAGTATGCATCGTGATACCTTTAAATGGTTTCACCATACGATTCCACTGTCCACAATGTTTTTGTAACTTACATTGTTGACAAACAAACAGTTTTAGTAACTATTTCATTCTTAAACACGAGGAATTCAACCACCTACCATTATTGTCTAGTTTATTCAAACAAATAAGCATTTACAATATCCATAAATATTTTTGAATATTGATTATATCTGGACTCGTCAAAGCCTTTCTGTTAGTTTTTTTTTTACTAACCATAGCAAAAGGGGTTTATTTTTTATTCTTTATTCTTTGACACAGCTCTCAAAAACTTAGCTTAATATAGACTGAAAGGGTGTCAAGTTTGAGAAATGCCATGTTATGGAGACAGAGAGCTAATTTTCAATAAAAAGATACTAAATTTACAACACTATAAAATGTAAGTACTAACATGTTAAAGAAAATACATCACCTCATATTTTTCTGGGGAAAACCCATATTTCTTGGGTGCTTTATTCATCAGGTATGTATGACTCACCATAATGTCCTCAAATAAAGCTAGGTTCGAATGGCAAAAACAATGTAATGCATAACTACTGAAGCTACCCAGGTACATGGTTTACCATCAGAGTCACTTTATAGGGAGCTTATAAAAAATATTTTATGGGTTCACTGAGAAATCCAGACTGCCGGACAATTGAATCCTGAGTTGGTGGTAGTTTGGATTTATTATAGCTATATATAATTGCCTTCACAATTAGGTTGGTAAGTAAAATAAAATATTGAAAGGAGTTATGATTGAGACTGCTATAAAATGATTCCATAAAAACTTAAAAAGGTAAAACAAAAACAATGTTTACCTACGACCGTTTTTTGAAGTAGCCGTTTCAGTTCAGTTCTTAGAATTGAAAAGTTCCCCATAACAGCATAGTTTTACTGATAACAACACGGGTAACAGACAAATGAGGTTCAAGGATTGAGAGAGAAGAAGTAAAATTGTAATGATTCGAACTTCAACTAATCAGTTGTTCACGCCAATTTAATTGTTGAGTGGTGCAATTAGTGTTTCGTACAATGTTTTGTTGCATCACTGTCAGTGGCAATGAGAGGTTATAAACAAAAACATAATCTCTCTTAGGAGTTATGAGTAGTGATTTTTAGTAATTAAAACACTGTCATAGGTAAAGTAGTGTACGCAACTCGTGTAAATAGTGTTAACGCAATCGTTGCGTAAACTACTATTACGAAAGATATAACTATACCTTTATAACTGATTGTATTTAAAGGTAGATAATGGAGATCAACCTAAAGCTACAGTAACTTATAAATTATCAACATTTTCTGATGACTCATTCTCATGCTATTTCCCTTTACAATGGAAACGTGGGGCTCGGAAATTCATTTTAGGACATAGCTTTCACTTTAAGTTCAATAAATAGGTTCAAAAGCTAGTAGGATATTTTTGTTTGGTCTAATTGTCAAGCTTGCTTAATCTAGTTTGTTGCAAAGCATTATGTACACAAATCAGATAACTCAAAATATTTTACAAAAAAAAACTGTATTTCCAATTATAATAAAAAAAAATAAAGAACATAATAACTAGGGCCTATTGTCATAAAAATAAAATAACTGTACTGCTAGGCAAATCAGGAGTTCATTACCAAAGCAATACTGAGTGCAGTACATAATAACATTGCCTTGCTGAAGAAAAAATAAAAATAAAACGGCTTTAGTTACACTAATTTAAACATCTAATTTAAAATGTACAGACTTTTTGATTTTAGGGAAATTACAATATAACCAAGTCTTTGTTTCAAAACTGAATTTGTTTCAAATATTTGTTTGCCTTCTAAAGATTTTAATAGCATATTATAGCTTACAGACAGTTTAAATACAAGAAAACAGGTTTAAGAAATATAATTATAGCAAAAATATTGTATAATCGTGATTTGAGGAATTAACTATTTGATTAGTTTTTGTAGTAATATTTTTAAAGAACATTTTAATTTAAAATATACTAGCTGATATCAGCAACCAATGCCAGTGGTTATGCAATAAATAAACTATAAATATTGTAACTACAAGGTACAGTAATTAACTCAATGTACCAAACCAGCAAAAGGCAAGATTTAAATTGAAGTTGTAATTTAAGTTAAATTCCACTGCATCGACCCATGTAATGGTAATATCTAGAACCTTTTATTAATATTTTGTGATTCTTTAAGATTCACAAGTGTAATTACAAATAAAATGAAGACATTACTTAGGAAGCTTGGTGTTATGTTTACTAAGCTGACTCATCAGGCCTCATCTAAAATTAAATATTTATCACGGAAAATTAAATTTATAACTTTGTAGTAAGCATATACATCTACAAAATTCTAGAAATATCAACGAGCGCTTCAAATATTAATTAGTCAACTACTTGGTTGCACATAAAGAAAAATAAAACATAAAAGGCTGTTATTTAATCGTTTAGTGTCAGTTTTTTTGCAAATCATTATTCGTTTATAAATTTATAATTCTAGGAAAAAAACTTTACTCCGAAATAAATTTATAAACAAACATTCCTTGCATAAAAAACAGTTTTTTTGTGCTCACGATGCATTTTCTGAGTCTTCGTCGCCGCCTCCAGTTCCAACGACCTCCTCCAGAAGTCTGATTGAGTCAATCAAAATCAGTTTATTGTCGTCAACAGTAAAACTGTTTATAACTACAAGTTACAGTTACAGACAAGTCGGTCCAACCAAACAACCCAATACATGTGAGTGACAACTAAATTAAAAGGGCGGTGAACTAATTATCGGGGGAAAACTAAACTTCTTCAAATGATAAAAATAAATATTCCTCAATTTAAATAGATAAAAACCTTGACTGGATTCCAAAATGAGATTTAACACAAAGCATTTTGGTCAGTTAAAAATATAATGACTTTAATTCCTACAATTTAATTCAAATACTAATTATACATCAACGACAAACAAATTTGGAGGATTTTTATGACCTGAAATGTGGATAGTTCTTAAGTTTTGTAATTATTTATATATTTTTGGGCCATCATAAGTGTATTCCTATAAGATAAGAGTGAATTCATGTTAACAAATCCATTTCAACTGGAACATTTGATTTTTAAGTTTATAGAATGAAATGAAAATGAAATGAAAACCTGTGGTTAACAATTAATTTAATTAATTTCCTTTGTTGGGACACTAATATTAGAATAAAATGGTTTATGAAATCACAAACCACATCCACATCCATCTAAATTTAATAACACAATTTTCTAACTGTTAGAAAATCTGCTTGGATAACTGAGTACATTTTAAACATCATAGATTTGTACCTGTAGTTAATGTTATGATATAAATTAATCAAGTGATGCTTACCCTTTGATTTCCCACCGTTCCTTTTCAAAACCCTTATGTATAGACTGGGCGATGGATGACTCCATCAAGTCCACATATCTGACAACCAATGGAGCAAACGTATCCCTCAGCTGCTGATGAAAGCGACCGTTCTTCAAGTTATCTTTAGAAAAATAAAAAAAAAACCATAAGTGAAGAGCGCAAATTAAACCATCACAACATTATGGAAGTGAAGTTTAACATACAATAGAAAGTATTGTTTAGGTGACGCACCTTTGTGATTTTAAATTAAGAAATGTTGAAAATTCAGATTGCACTCCTAAGTGTGATAGTTAAAATTGTGGCTGTGTACCTCAATCTTTTACCCATCCTGAGAAAGAGTTACGACAATGGAGTGTATTTATGTTTGTTTGTAATGCATCGAAACAGTACTGCCAGTTGACAGTTCCACTGGCATTTTATTTCTCATGGTTGGACAATATGAGTGATGGAAAGAGGGTAATGGTTATGACAAGAAACAACTTGGGTACTTTTCAAAACCGAACATTTGGTAATGATGTAAATGTTATGTAATGTTTAATTAATGTTTTATATATTACCTGTCATCAGTTCCAAATTGTAACATTCAAGTGCTACAACACAAACTGCTGTTCAAGTTGAATATTATTTTCATCACCCTACTATGAGGCACAGAAAACGTACTACTATAACCCAGAATGCCAACCGCATGGTAAAAAGCATTAAGCGGTTTGAGAGAGCTTTGCCTGTCAATCCGTAGGCAGCGCCACCAGCCATTATAATATAATCTGGTATTATATTATAATATAATAATTATAATACCATCTGTGCGGAGGTAGTCATTGAGGATCTGGAAGAGAGGGAAGGAGTCCCAAGTGTCTGCTGGTTGTTCACTCAACACTTGGTTCATATCCACGGCAAACAGGGACCAGAATATACTAGATTATGCTATTGCAAGTTTATGCAATAGCATAGCAACGCTGGTGGCGCTGCCTACCGATTGACAGGCAAAGCTCTCTCAAAACACTTAATGCTTTTTACCATGCGGTTGGCATTCTGGGTGATAGTAGTACGTTTTCTGTGCTATGAGGGGACGTATCTGGATCAGATGACCACCACTGATAACGAAGACAATTCAGCCAGATAGCTTGACTAACCCTCTGAAAAAATTTAATTTTGTTCCTACTCGTCTACCGACAATCTTGATAGGTCTATTAACCAAAATTATTGATTTATATTGAGTGTTAAAAAAAATTATGTGTCGTGTATTTAAACTATCAAAAAAGATATTCAAGCAGATGTAATGCGTTTCCTGGACTGAAGTGTTTGAAAATGGCAGCTCACTGAAATATGTGGCAGTTGAATGTTACAATTTTGAGTTGATGACAGGTAATGTAAAACCCATTAGTTAATATATCAGTTACGGGGCTAATACAATGAATTTTAATAATTTTTAATGTGTTTCTAAAAGTGACGTAAATTGGATTTCAAACAGGAAGATGATTTTTGTTGTGGATTTTTATTGTCACATAAAAAAATATATGGGACAACCTCAAGTCCAAAACAATTAACAAGGAACATGGCATAATACATGCTACTAAAAGGTTAGTGGCCCAGAGTGACTATCACATAATATATTCGTTAAAAAGTAACAGCTGGGTAACTAGTGCCATGATGATCTTTAGAAGGGAAATCAACAATTCTTAGAGCAATAAACCAAGTGTTCAGTGGCGGCGATAAGAGCCCAAAGGCCCCCCGCGCAAGTTTGTTCGCCGGGCCCCCCTCTCCCCAAATCTTAAAAAAAATCACATGTATTACCTCCTAAACATGCACTTTAGCTTGGCACGGCATCTCCCGAGGCACCGAGGCGTCATCGTCGTCTTCCATGATCGCGGCAAAATTGTGAATACTTCCCGTAGTCATGGAAGAAACATTAGCCTATCGTAGTCTACTGTGATTGCAACAAAACCTTTGACGTCATCAGATAACCACATCATCTTCTCCCGCGGTCACGGCCCAATGCCTAATATCTCCCGCGACCTGTGGTGACGGGGAAAAAATTTTTTCCGCAATCGCGTAAAAATCCTAAATATATCTCTCACGGAAAAAGAAACGTAATTATCGTCTGTCCGCAATCATGGCAAAATATTGAACATCTCCTGCGGCCGCTGAGACATCGTCATCGTCACTCGCCAAGATATGTACTCGTCGATATCCGTTATTGCGGCAAAAGCGTATGCCTAATCTTTCGATTTCGTGAGCATGAACTACAATGCACATAAAAGCTGGACATAAAAGCTTTTACTTTTAATTTGGCATTACTATTGTATTGAGTACTGAGAAAATCGGCTCGAGCTTGATTTTCTTACTTGATCCCTCAACCTTGTAGGCCAGGCTCTGCTCGGCTCGAAAATCAACATTATATAAAAATCAACAGTTACCAAAGCAACCCGAATTTGAACCGAACTGAATTGGCCTGAGGGCCATAGGTAAGTAACATTTTTTACCTGACTCAAAGTAAACAAATTTAAAGTGCAGCCTTATAATAGTAAGAAATTAAATTAAATGAAAATCCTTCTTTAACATCAATGAAAGAATTGAATTATTTATTAGCTAGTGCCCCACCAGCCACCTAGGTTAATTCGCCGATTTAGACGTAAAATAAATGCCAATTTCTTTTAGTTGAACCAGCATAGAGGGTCCTCTCTGGTGGGACCTAGGAGGACTAACATTACTGTTGTTTTATCCTCTAGATTGGGAGCCACATTGGTTCTAAATACGGCCCTATTATAGTGCCTTCACACAGTCCACGAGAACGGTTGATGCAACCTGCATGACTGATGACAATTCTTTTACTTCGGTTGGTAGAGAATTTATATTGATCGGACAAGTAATAGTGTCAGTTTAGCTGTTGTAAACTACTTGTCCTAGTGCTCTTACGGGTTTTAACAAATTTTTGTCATAAAAAACATATGGTAATTCTCATATATATATATTGGGGCCCCGTGTGGCTCAGCCTGTCGCACAATAGCGCCCCCGTGCCCTGGTAAAACTTCCCGAAAAATCCCGGTCAAGGCTCACGGGCCCCTCTAGCTCGCTGGATCCCCGCACCGCTATCGCCGCCACTGCAAGGGTTATAAATTTGGTGGCAATGTCAAATAGTAGATTAAAATATAGGCTTTTATATAAAAATACATTTTTGTAATTTGTGTGACTTAAGTGTTTATTATGTTGATATTTGATTGACAGCATTTTGGCCATCAACAGACAAACTTCCTACTACTGTATCATATACTATAAGGCAAAGAATGATCATACTGACCATCTGTGCGGAGGTAGTCATTGAGGATCTGGAAGAGAGGGAAGGAGTCCCAAGTGTCTGCTGGTTGTTCACTCAACACTTGGTTCATATCAACGGCAAACAGGGACCAGAATATTTCTGCATGTTCCACAAGCAAGTCGCTAAACCAGGCAAACGCCTACACATCCAAAAAGGTTAGACATCGTATCATGTCAGTTTAAAGGCAACAAACTAAGAAAAACATTATAAAGCTGGACGATTCTATTGAGAAAATTGTATTTTTTTTATTTAATTGGAAAAAGTAAAAATATTTGAATACATTTCTAGATGTAAATACAATATCTAAATTGATGTTGAGTTAAGAAATGTAAGTTTTGTTGGGGGGAGTAGCGATAACTCACAAATTAGAATGCCTAGAACAGTGTAAAAGAATTTACTTGAAACAAAGCAATAAGGTTATTTAAAACATTTATTTATTAGTAGCCTCCTGCCACGCATACAACTTTTTGGCTTTCAATACACAAGGTATCAATTATTTATCAAAACAATATTTATGATAATTTAACACCCGTCAGAAGAAGATAAAAATAATCAGTTTGTTGTAAAATATCCCCCTCTTGTCAACCCTTCAGCATGAAACTTACCTTTTTGAAATAGCTTGAATTCCTTTACCTCAGTGTAAAAAATATATATAAAGTAGTATAAAAACCCTTAACTAGCTATATTTCAAACATATTTTTTGTACTTGGAATTAGTATAGTGAGTATCTTAAAGCAGGAGACTTCAGTCTGTAAATGTATTAGTTTGTGCTAGTGAATATCAGTTAACTACATGCCTAACTCGTGACCAAAACTCATGCAGTGTGAAACTCCATGCGTCACACTTCTTATATAGCTCTTACAGTGTCCTTCTTGTACCGTGCCGTTTTTGTATTTTGGAAAACCTTTTAATTTATATTTTCAATCATTATATGTTTATTAAAATATTTTTGCCAGTTTTCATTTTGTCATATGTAACTTTAAAATTGTTTGACAAAAGTTTTTGGCAAATATTAAGTAAAATAACTTATTTGGAGGGGATTTTTATTATTTTAATTCTTATTTTCTTCCATTATGAGTTAGAAATGCAGGTTAAAAATTTAAAATGCAGGGGAATCATCACCCCTAAATGTACAATATACGATGTGGTCATGTTTCATAAACATAAATAAAATGAAATACTATTTCTTATTTGAGTTTTAAGTAGTGACTTAAATTGTTATGAAAATGTTTAGATTCCTCATAACCACTATTAACTTGCTAAGATAAACCAAAATTATATGTAAATATACTAAATATGAATTAATTTATTTTTGACTTTAAGGATTTGCTAAAACTATCTGAAAAAAAAGGTTGTAGCAAAATTTAAATGGTCTACGTCGTGGCAACAAGCATTAGAAAATCTATAAGTTATAAGGTTGCAAAATGTTATTTTTCTTTGTGATCATAAAAATTCATATATGATAACTACCTAATTAGGTAAAAATATCTAATGCATAGGAACCATGAGACCTTGCCTGGAGAGCAGGTAATAAATAATATGCCCAAAAGAGGCTGTTTGGTAAATATCTACTCATTACTTCAAACATTCTACCAATAATCCATTCTTAATTTAATTAATTAATTAAATCAAATAATGTATGAAAAGGGTAAAAATAAACTGATTAAAAACTCCACATGATTATTGAAAACACATGCAGAGAAAAATCTACTTTATATTGCACAAAACACTAACCCCAAAATATTAATTGAATGCAAAAATCATAATACTGAAATAAGAAGATGAGAAATTGAAAAACTCTAAATAGCTACAATATATTGATACTATGCCTAGCTAAGCTAAAGCAGTAAAAATGCATTAATTTAGTTCTGAAAAATGTTATAATATTAATTTAAAATAAATTAAATTAAATACATATAAGCGTATAACACAATCATTTGTATACTGTTGACTGGCTAGGCAGGCAGATACAATTTAATAAGAGCAGTATGCGCATTTTACCGAATTGAATACATTATATACTGTACTTGTGTATCACCAGAATAGTAGCACTGATTAAGAGTGAACTTAAAAATATTCAACGAAGTAATAAACAACAACTGTCTCACTACAATAAAAACTATGTTAAACTATATATGAGTGGAAGGTAGACTTCCACAGGCAAAGTAGACCACTGAATTTTCTTCTTTGGGAGATGACTACATTGTTGAATTGGCAGAATTTTTAAATGCATTGGAGCAATCGATCTTTGGAGCAATCAACAGCTTAACTGATTTGAACTACTGTGTTAGTAATCTATCAGTTTAATTGTATCCAAGGATGAACAATTGCAACAACTCCCGAATGTTGGCCAGAATTTCAACCAGTAACCAGTTCAATGATGTGGACATCTACCGAGAACAAAGACTCTACAGTATATGCGAGTGATTATGTACAACCACTTTTGGAAAGAAGTTTTGTCACAATGCACAATGGAAACAATGTTTATGGTTGCAAAGGACTATCCGTCAATTGCAAAATATTTCAGCATTAGGCTGGGATATAATTTCACAAATTACAAGTAATCATGCCATTGCCACTTAAATATTTGGCTGGTAATGTAAGCAGTTGTATTTAATATTCTTTGTTGCATATAAAAATTGAATAATCAGTTGTTTTTTTTAAATTGAGGATATCAACACAGTATCAAGGCAATATTCCTTAATATGTTCATAAATGATCAGCAGAATATTCAACACTGAGCTTTTTGCAAGAAATTTTAAAGAGCTTTGACAATCTCTTCAATTTACGAAGGTGTTCTAATGTTTAAAGGAACTTAACTTATGAGTGACCAAAGCCCGACCAATATAGTTTTACAAAGAGCTTAGATGTATTTCAATGATGAATCCCTATGTATAATAAGACCGTAGAAATCCTGAACAAATTATACAGAATGTGTACTATCTCATGATAGAAGACAATGTTGCATCTAGAATAAAGTCCATGTTTTTGACATGGTCTGTTAGATGGCAATATCTGGTATGAGTATGTATAAAGTTTTACATAGTATAATTGAAATCTAAAAAAAGTTTATTTTTCGAAGGGTATAAAATTATTATTCACCTAAAAATTTAATTATTTATTTCATATTTCCTAGTGCTCTGTATCTATACGACTCAAAATCCCAATTAAAAATATATTAATTTAAAATTCATTTCAAATTATTTATGTTTTTTTTGCAATTACAATCTGTGCCTAAGATCTCACTTTAAACCCTTCGATTTAAATCAAAAGTTTTTATTCAACAAAGGTTTTATCCAATGATTAATACTGACTTCATCCAAAAAATTATAATACATTCTAAATCCACATTTGGTTTTATGCAAAAGATAATGCAAAACAATATGTTTTTATATATTTGTTGGCAATGCACTTTTACCTTTAGTTTTCAAAAGTGGGTAATTATTTTAACCATGTTATTTGATTCTTATCTCTAGAAGTCATGTTATGAGTAGGTAAACTATAAAATAATGTGCAAACTTTAAAAAGTTACTTTAAAGTACTTAACAGCAAAATTAGTTCTTATTTTATGTAACTGCTCGTTTGAATGCATAACAACTAAAAATGTGTTGAGCTTAAAACTATTAATCCAAAACAAAATAATGACTAAAATGTACGGTATCTTATACTGGTGATTTTGGGTTTTCGAGTCAGAATATAATTACGATTAACTGTTTATTTTAAATTATGTCTGCTCATAAAATTAGAGTTCAATAATTAGAGTTTATATATATTAGTTAGTTAAACTATGCCTTGAATGAATGTGGGTCTGAATATGTCCTGATGTTATACGATGTTTGGATGTCTGTTAAAATTCAAAAATCTTAAAAAAATCGCCCAAAGACAATTGCTTTAATACTAACATTCAAACACATGTTTAGACTAAGATAGTGATATATTTGTATTTAGTTGCTCTTACTTGATCTTTAATGCTCAAATTTCCCTTTCATTGAGTGTTTACGTTTCAACCACCTGCATACTTTTTTTATAAATTGATAGTTAAGCATGAAAGATGTACGTGTAATTACTGCTAAACTAATAAGTGTAAATTGATTTGCTATTGAACAAATATTGGGTGAGGTAATAGTTACGTCATCAAAAGTTCTACATTATATCAACAATGCAATAAATGTCACATGTCCGTGCTGAAATAAAATTAAGAGTATTGAAAATACTACAAAACCATTTATACAAAAATGTAATTGGTTAAGATGTGAGAACTGTTTTATAATACAATCTGGAATCTGCAGCAGAAGATGATTGGAATGTGTGTTTGGTACTCAAATATCCAACTGTGCCTGTATGAAAACAATTTAATATAAATTGATGCTAACTGTTGGGGTTTGTAAACTGTCTGGAATTGTAAAGAATGCAAGAGAAGGAAAAGTGCAAAAACTGTAAAGCCAAGTGTTGGGGTGGATGCACATAACATACAAGAAAAGCAGCCATGCACTTATATAACTTGTACTTACTTTATCCTGTTTAAAACGAAAACATTTGAAAGAAATCCATACATTCAGGGTGATACAGAGACATACATAAGCATGTTAACTTAATACATAGAGTAGACCGGACGAAAATGGTTCAATAATAGCATATTATGTTACTAGTCCTGAAAATATGTGTTAACTAAACAAGTGTGGTTGTTCCCGTGCGAGACGAAGGCAAGTGCGGGATTACCATACGAGTCCAATAAACACATATTGGACGAGTGACGTACGATATTTTACGCCATACTACTCTAAGCTAACTTAACAATAACAAACCTGTACAAATGCTTATATATTCCCACCGACTAAAGGACTAACAATCACTTATATCTCTCAATCACTCATAACTTTTAGAAGTTATGAGAGGTTATGTTTTTGTTTATAACCACTCATTGCCAAATATAATCAACTGGTGTCCAGAAAAAACTCATTACAGTACAGTAGTACGTAATGAAAGCCCATTTGATTAAGCTGATGGTAAACAGTTGTTTTCTGGACTAAATCCTTGCGTGGGAAATTTGTTAAAAAAGTGTAGTATGGCGTAAAAATTTTTACAGCTTTTTGTGACTGATTCTTTTGTAGAAACTTGGCAATAAAGCTTGAAATTTTA